TACATCCACAGCACACATCATCTGAAATAACAACTCATATTTCTGGCATCCAATTACATAAAAACGCATTTTAATGGCCAAACTAACCTTAAAATAGACATTTTCCATCGAGAATAAAATGAAGGTCAGCCAGGTTTTTTTTTTTTGCATGGAGAAATTTGAAGATCACGTGACATAGACGCCAGCCATTGGAAATGAATGGTGAAAAAAAACGTAGGGATCTTACAATTTCAGAGGCGTTTTTGTAGAAATACTACGTCCCAAGTTGTGGACCAACGTAGTTATTACACGTTTAAATGTGAGACTGGGTTGTTTTGTCATACACACCTGGCAACTCTGTTACGCACGAACCCTCACACAAACCGATGTGATATTTTCAAGATCTTTCAATCACTGGTGGAAAAAAAGAAAAATCAATGCACATACAGTATCTTGACTTAAAACTTTCATAAACAGAGGGTTATAAAGTTAGGTTTACTTCATGTTGTTCAGTCCGCCAACACTTTCCCAGACTGGTATGGAGATCCAATTGCAACCTGCTGTTGTGCTGTTGGCTGCACACAGTAATTACAAGCCATAAACCCACACTAAAAGACAGTCTGGCGCTTACATGGCTAGTATGCTCGCTATCAAACTTGTACTCAACATTTAAATCGTGAAAAGCTCTGATCAGGTTCCGTTCCGAGTGCTTCGTCTCGTCACTTCACACTGACATACTGCCATTGGTTTTGAATTGACAAACGTTGGTCATGACCTGCGTTTGAATGAATGGGGATGTTAAGGTTTAGATAACGTCAGATTTTATTAATGCACCTCACCCATAGGTTATCCCTAAAATGTAAATGCATGGAAACTATTGTGCTTTAATAATATAGTTACGTTTTTACTTCAGCTAATGCAAAGATTTGTGATATGGCAAATAAACTGACATTATGCTATTTACCTTATTAAAACAATCTACAAAGGTTAGGGAAAGATTGATTAAATGTTGTGGAAAAGACAACAACCAATTAGTGCAAAATGGCATGGCAAATACATGCTCCTGTTTGACTCCACACTGATAACATGCATGTCTTGCATGCACATTTTAACAATAGTTGTTTGAGCTGACGTGCACTCGGGTTGGACGGAAAGTGCTGTGTGCTGTCTGAGCTTAATTGGTATTTGGTCTCATCACCTTGTTGAAACTGGCCATGAAATAGAAGCAGCTCATCAGCAACACAATAGCAGCAGCTGCTGTCTTCTATCAGTGTCTGCACTGGATCTGTTTAGCCTTACTTTTGTGTGCACTCAAAACATATTTGACAAAGCTTATTGCCAAATACAAAGCATTTATTTTTGTGTAAGTGTGTAGTGTGAGGCACAAATGACAACACAGCTGGTGTGTATGGTCAACTTGATATTTGCAAAATACATTGCAGAGAGAGATCTTCCCAAACATTACCATTTCTCTCACTGGTCTTGAAAGTTTGAATGGCCTACAATCCTGCCCTCAACAATAGTGTGTTGTAGATCAGGGCTTCCCAAAGTGGGGGTCGCGAGACCCCTAGGGGGGGCCGCGAGATGATTAAAAATAAAACAATTATTAAAAATTAAAAATTAAAACAATTATATTTATTAGGGTCTGAGACCTGAGGTCGCCGAAGATCCTATTGAAATCGGTCGCACAGCGACCGATAAACCTGCGAAACACACCCAAAACAGGGAAAACGACGGAAATCATGACGGCAGAAAGTCCGCGCGAGCCCAGTCACGTGGGCGTAGTAGAAAATCGTCCAAACGGCACCAGACCTCAGATGATGGTTAATTGTCCGGCCCTCAACAGCTCTA